CCTATTCCCTCTTCATCATCGCCCTGGCGTCCCAGGGCGTCCAGCCTCTGCAACTGGAGGCTACCTACGAGGCCTTCATCTGGCACACACAGCGATTCTTCCTGGTCACGCGCATCTACTCCGTGCAGGCGTATCTCCTCTACGTGATGCAAGTGGTGACGCCGTTGATCCCACGTGGATCTCAGTCCTTCCGTCTTCACATCTTCGACAGCTCCGTTGTCATTGATAACATCCTGGTCCCAGAGGGTCTGGCCAGCATCTACGAGGAGGGACGCCAGACAATCATCAAGCGCATCCGTGGCCTTCAGGGAAGCAGCAGTGACATCACGAACCGTATCATCGGAGGCCAAGGAGAGAAGGGAGTTATTGGAAACGACCTCAAGTTCCAGACCATTGTTCCCGCTGACGTTCCGGGCTATGACCAGTTCGAGTACCAGAACGTCATCCTGTCAGCTGTCCAGATGAGGGAGATTGCTAGCGTCCTGATACAACGCTTCAACCAGCTGAAGCAGCCTTCCCTGCAGCTGTCGCTGATGCGAATCATAATTCACGCCAACGTCATCCCGAACAGTGGTGCCGCCGCTGCTGCCGCCTTCCGCCGTCTGTTCCGTGGACTGCCGGCCTACTCTGGTCCGACTGACCTCAGCTTCGTCCTCACACAGCTGAGCGAGAACCGCCTGCAGCTGACGGAGACCCAGCTGCTCGCCGGCATCCAGCAGTTCTACGTGGCTTCTCGCTGCCTCGGCTACGTCATCCCGCAGCAGACCATCCCCAGTGTCTTCCTGTACACCGTTCGGGAATACCTGTCGACGCTGGCGTCAGTCCCGGCTCAGCCGTTCGGAGATGGATTCCTTGAGTTCCTGTACCAGCGTCTCGCCGGCATCATCAGACAGGTGACGGTGGTTGACCAGAAGGTGCCCATTGATGACTACGTCTCCCAGAAAATCTTCTCGGTGTTTGGCAGCAGCGTGCGTATCAGTGTGGAAGCCAGACGTACCATCATCCGCTTCATCCACAACTCAGACCTTCTGCCGAAAGTTGGGCAAGGAGTGTCGGTGGTCGCCCAGTACCAGCGTCTGCTCAAGTCTCTCTTCAAGCGTTACCCGATCGGCACTTTCATTCTGAGCACCAAGGAGCTGGTCTACATCCGAGCTGAGCTGAAGAAGGCTGGTATCAGCGTTGACATCAAGTATCTGCGTGATGCCAACGTTATGGCCTACATAGGCTTGGGTCTGCTGAACCGTCTGGAAAAGTCCCTGACTGTGATTCGCGTTCGCCAGATTGTGCTCAGCTCGATTCGCTACTTCCTGCGCATCAACAAGGTCAGCAACATCCCGAGCGTGGAGTTCTTCCGCGTCCTGCTGCACCAGTACAAGGTGCCGGTGCCTCAGCTGCCGGTGCCCAAGAGACCCGTCATCCAGTACCCCGAGTACACTCGGGCGCCGATCTACATTCTCTCTGGTATCAGCCTCCCGGTGAAGCAGGTTGAGCAGCTGGTGGTCATCCTCCGAACCCGCTTCGTCTTCGTCTCCATTGAGAATGTGCAGTCGATCCTGGCACACACTGTTCTGCTTCTCCGCGCCAGCGGACAGGAGATCGTGCAGAAGAACTGCTACGAGGTCCTCACGCGCTACTACAGAGGCCTGCCCAAGAGCATCTCCGTTGGCGAGTTTGACATCGAGGACCTCGTGAAGGAGATTGACGACCAGCTGAAGGACGCCACCATCTCTGGTACTGGCGTGCAGTCGGCCCTCGTGGAGCTGTACCTCCACATGTACTATCTGAAGATGCCTCTTCCGAGCGTCAAGGTTCGTGATGGCTTCCTCAGCTTCGTCATCGGTGCTTACGGCAAGGTGCAGGTCCGTCGCCAGCTGCCCTTCGGCAAGCTCTTCTACGACTTCCTGCAGGACTTCCTGCCGAAGCTGCCTGGCTACCTGAAGCCTTTCCCGATCTTTGCCGGCCCGCAGGTCTACAAGGTGTTCCACTCGACGCTGAAGACTCCCGTCTACCCGTCGGACATTCCCCTCTACTTCCAGCTCTTCCGTCGTGTGACGAAGGGAAGTCTGACGATGGGCAGTCTGCAGAGCTCACTGTCTGGCCTCAGCCTTCTGCCGGGCCTGACCTCAGAGGAGCTCTCTAGCATCATCGATTTGGTAAAGGGAAAGCAGCTCAAGGTTAGCCAGACTGAGATCCGCCGTGCCTTTGCTATCTGCCGACTATCTCTCGGTCTCAGCAGTGTCAAGATCTCGCGCTCTAAGCTGATCAGCATCTTCCAGGAGGTGGTGATCAGCATTGTGCAGAAGTACAAGAGCCTGCTGGTTGTCAGCTACGTGGAGCAGATCCTTCTCCGCATCAGAACTTACGGACCCAAGTATCGCCCCGTCCAGCCGATCACACCCATCAAGCCTGGATACCTATGCAAGAACAGCAAGTACATCCGCTGCTAGACGAACTTAAATCGGCTGACGCGCGCTAGGACTATGACTGATGATTCGTGATTGCCTTGCCAGAACTAGACGATATTGCCTTATGCTGCCGCCGTATGTCATCCCCTGTCGGTGTGCGCCGAAGTGGCGCTGCCCAACATCTTCGGGAGCAGTAGTGTTGTATTGGATGTGATGTAATTAATAAAACGATGATGGCACAAGCTTCTGTCTTTGTCGGGAGGCGAGGACACAATGACGTAACATTCGTGGCACGCATGGCAAACGCAGCAGTCGACTTACATAATGCAGAACGCATACTCTTAGGTAGCACTTCCACTGTGAAATTCTTTGTCTAAGGACGCAAACGAATGGGCGCCAAATGACCTCAGTAAACCTAGGACGGCCCTAAGGCCCCGATAAACAACCTGACGAAATGAACACTCGATGAGATGACGTATGCGTCTCCCGCTGCTGTTGTCCTGATGCTGAGGCTCTTCAAAACGAAAAAATGTGGGAGTATAGCTCTGCCAACCACACAGTCACACTGGTGGCTCCCCCGCCCAGTTCGGTGGTCTGTTAGGGTAACTTTAGTTCATGGTTCTACCGCCAGGCGATACTAACTTCGTTAACAATAACCGTGTTTGTGGTCAGCTGATAAAAGCTATTGTGACTTTTTGCATAATATTGTCTGGCGGCTGAAACAGGGCCCAAAAAGAAGGGTCGCATTTTGAAACATTTGTTTTATCATTTCCATAAGTTTTCTGAAACACGTCAGCAGGACACCCCCCGCTGAACAACGAATACGCATACCTACCAGTACAGGCTCTCCTTGCCGTTAGGGTATCGTAGAGCGTAATGCAAAATGTTGATATATCTTACTCACTGTCAAGTATAGAAGATGTCTTGTGGGGCATATTTTTACAAGATTTGTAGCTGGAAAGATGATCGTTTTCTTCAGAATACAGATTCGTCAGTCGCGTTAGTTAAAACTTTTGCCTGAAATACGAGTAGGTATCTCATGGTATTGCTTAAGTCATAGACCTCTGTATACTTTGATAGGCTTTCGAATCGTCGGCAAATGTGGAAATGAATCCATTTAGGAGGTCGGCAATGTCATAAACAAACATGGAGAACAATAGAGCTCCTAAGACTGAGCCCTGTGGCACCCCGCTTGTATACAGAGGTCTATGTATAATTTAATCGTATCTATGCTAATTTCCCGCATTCTGTCGTCCTCGAACGGTACCTCAGATGGACCCCACCTAGCTCATTCTGTCCCATTTATCATTCATTCTGCACGCCACCTAGACTCATTCTGCCCCATTTATTAATTCACGCATGCATCCTTTCTCTTACAATTAAACTGATTATTTTGTTCAAGCATGAGTCCCCTCCTCTCAACACAACACCGATGGCATCCGTTATCTTGTATTTTCTTTTTTGCACGATCAAACAACTACATTCTATCATGCAGGCTGGCGTGTCATTTATTTCGAGACTACATTCCGCATTCAATGCTAGCGACTTTTTATTGCTCGCTTATACACCCTACATACCAATCCAAGCCATTCCATCTAGACTTCTGAGCCAGACAAAACGACAAACGTATCCTGTTCATCGTTCAGCTCCAAACCTAGGCCGGAACCGTCGGACTCTTCAGAGACCGGAAACACATTATCGCTTTCCATTGGATCACTTTCGGCGTGTAGTTCAGAGGAAGCCGCTCCGTCATCAGATGCCTCGAATTCTACTAACGCGACTTCATTTTCTCCGAAACGCGCTGAATCAGCGATAGGTTGCGTGAGTGAATCAGTGTCTTGGCCTGATAGGACAGTTGGGATGGATGACGCAGTTTCAACGCCAGGAGATGTCAAATCGTCTGAACCCCCAGAGCCTTCGACCTCGTCTAGAATGTCCTCCTTTAGTTCGATATTTTGTTTGTCTCCAGGCTTGACTGTCCCGTCGGAGGCATTTTCTTCAGGCGCATTGGTGGATACTTTGTCTTCTTCTGCTGTTTGCGATAGCTGTACCGAAATCGCCGACCCCACGAGATCTGACTTTGCAGTTTCAGATGTTACTTCAACTGATGAAAACGTTGACTGAGAAGGGCTATCGACGGCTTCACTGCCTGTATGATCGACCACGGGCGCGGGTGTGAGCGCGATACTCTTGGGCTCAGTCGTAGACTCGGTCGTGTTCGAAGGCTCTGTGGTGGTAACTGGCGCCTCAGAAGTGGCCTGTACTTCAGTGGTAGTCGCGGGCTCTTCTGTGGTGGCTGGTGACTCAGTGGTAGTTTTTACCACTTCACTGGTGCTCGCAGGCTCCTTTGTGGTGACTGGCGGTTCAGGTGTGATCGCTGACACCTCAGTGGTGCTCAAGGTCTCTGTCATAACCTCGGACACCGTATCTTGTCCTCCGCGCTCCCCCTCATCTTCCTTCAGCTCTGGTGTTGCAGCCTCTACCGCAGACGATCCTTCTTCTTCGACATCTCCCAATCCGGTGGCGACGCCGGCCGTCACAGAAGCGTCCTTGACCTCACCCTCGCCACAGACGACACTTGGACAGCAAACTCCGGGGTGAACTCGGCCCGGCACCCCTCGCTCTCGTACTTTTCCTGGTTGCGGTCCCAGTCGCATCGTGCTGATACTGCCTGCGAAGGACAATAGCTGGTCAAATTTAGCAGATAACGGCACATAGCTCACTTCACTGGTGCTCACTTCACGTAGTTCTACCATCAACCTCAGGGGGTGAGGTTGATGGTGATAATACACATTACACAACGTTACGTGGGGAGTCTTACACATTTGTCGTATGTAAAAATCCGTTTACAGGTACTGTTTACGAAAAGCACGGCGGATACTGTCTGAGAAAAACACCGGGGTGTCACAATGGGCAATTGGCATGCCATCCTTAATTATTCGAGTGTTTGCAAAGTGTTGAGACTGTAGCCCGTTACCGACACCTTATCCATCAGACTGGGCGTTACTCAGTGTCCACCGGATCACTGTCGGCACCGGGGAACGCCTGACCCGCGCCTGCATTTCACATTCTCGCGCAGAAACGTGGCTCAGTAACAAATCAGGCCAAGGGCTATAATATAACTAGGTAGAGGTAGGCTATAGGTATAGGTAGGTATAGGCTGTAGGCATAGGTAAGGACATAAGGCTATAGGTAGCTATATGGTAGGTATAGGTAGGTGTGAGAACTCCTTTCAACTCACTACACATCCTTTGCCCGAGAAGCATTTGCAGAAGACACACGGGTCGCTCTCAGAGGGTCCGGTGGCCTCACACGACGCTGCAAAGACACAAATGAACACGCATTAGCTGGTATCCAATAATACTCACGCGTCTTATAACAGCCGTCAATAGCTTGTTCATGTTTGGCTCGCTCCAGGTCAGATATAATCGGAAGGGTACTTGTTCGTCATTCGTCATTGGCTTATTCGTGCTATATTCCTTTCATATGCAATCCACGGCCCTGCACCGTCTTTCAAGAGCACCGCAATAGAGTGCTCAACCAATGCAGCAATCAGTCAACAATTTCATTAATGCCAAGTAAGACTCGAAGGCATGGAACACTGGAGCAGAGCAGGCCAGCCGCCAGAGAGGCCTCAAATGGGTGTGTTGGAAGTGACAACATGGACATGAGACCCGATTAATTATCGGGGTATTGGGTACGTAGGACTAGACTCTTTACAAATGGGAACAGTACCACGGAGGATTAATTGCTGAAGTTTGTTATCCATATCTCACTATTTTGGCTTATTTAATTGCACAATATATTTGTTATAGTTTGCAAAGGTAAAAGAGGAACGCCATTAATGTTTTAACCAAAAGCTACGTTTTATGTGACGATTTTATCCCGATGGGTTCGACATACCAATCGAGAAGGATACAGATCCTTCTTATATCAGCAAGTTCAGGGAACGACACACAAAATCTCTGCGGATTTAAACCACAATCGCGTCTTATACTGGTCTTTACCAGCTGTGGCAATAGCTGTCACATATCGAATGCCTTTAATGGGAATTATGCGTTAAATTATTCAGCATCACGCTTCAGGAATTTCCTGTTGACATAATCCCTCACATAATGAGGTACTTTTCTGGTCAAAAGGATACAAAGTGACTAGGAAGCTATTGCCTGTGAAGCGAGCCATTAAATGCTAAGACTCTTAATAGTGGATTGCCTAAAGATTACGCTGAGAAGGGACTACTGCCGGACTGTTTGGTCTGATTTTGCTACCTGCAGGATTAATTTAAGCAATCACTAATGCTAAGCCTGAGAAATACAGGATATATATTGATTTGAGCTTAGGTTGATGCGTTTATGTTGATTTATTTTGAATTTGCTCGTCGTTATTCATTTATATTTTCAACTATATAGTTTCAACTTTTTATTTTAATTTTTGTTACATTCAGCCGCAGCCATCGCCAAAGTGACGAAAGAATGACATTTTTCTTGCATTGAGTGATGGCCGGCTCGATGATCGAGCTGTGGATCGGTTGGATTTTATTCTGATGATTTACACTCTTGACCTCATTTTTATCGGTATAGCAGGCATGGTATGACGCACCTATCCACTTATCTCGGTGGTAGAATTACCCGCGTAATGTTGGCGGCCTTGTACCAGCATTAAACGGGATCTGTCGCTTTAACCCTAACCGTCGTCAAGCGTAGACATTTACCTTCATAGCAAGACGCATCTCGCGAATCGGTGCAGATGTCCGAAGTCCCCTTCAGAGCATCTGCACCGATGTAATGTTCGTAGTTTTTGGGCCTTGCGCAAACGCATACATAATTGTGTCAGTAAAATTATTACCTTCATGTTAATTCATACTATCAAGTCTCAGAGTACATTTCTAGAGAAATGCGGTATACAAAGAAAAGTCCTAAGGTTGTCAACCACCTACCTCTGCAATGGCCAGTGATCACCGATTTTGAGTGGCATTCTGATCTTATCTGACTCATAATGTGCCGTTCTGTCCGCGATTCTGACATTGTTCCCCATATTTTTAGCGTTACCTATACCTACCTATAGGTAGCGATTTGCAGGTGTTGATGTGGGAAGTGCTGATGTTTGCTATTGATCTGAAGATATGAGCTCTAACCTCCAGCGACCAATAGTTTGGATATGGCCTGAATATCCCAACTGTTAGACCGATAGCTGTCAGCTCATTTCAGCCAAAAGGCAATGGCTCCAAACGCAGCACAATTAAATGAAAATCTTAATTTGAAGCATTCCGTCCATTTTTGAATTACACAAATTGCATACTTACAAAGTCATGCAAACGTCAAGCAACAAGTATTCCCCCCAGCATGCTAACTTTTGTTTTTCAGCACACTTGATCGATTCTTAGAAAAAAAAAATTAGATCAAACATGATGTCATATGTCTAGACCTGATATTCTCACTACCCATGCCTATGGATGGAAAAATTAGCATTGACATAAAGTGCAGTATTTAGCTCCCTTCTAGCAGACTATTACATCACACCTTACCTGCCAATTCTTTTCTCGCTCTGAAAATCGTTGTGACGTCCCTGATTGGAGTTGCTGTTACCGATCCAAGAACACAGATAACCAATATCGCCAACGCTCTCATGTTAAAAGCCTGAGTTTGCAATGGTACGGCAAATGCAGCGAATGAGACAAGAGCTGGACGGAAGCTCCCACGAAGACAGCTAACTCGCTACTGACAGGGGAAGCTACAGCAGGGATCAAGCCTCCATCAAACCCGTCGTCCGATCAGGGATTGAACCTGCAAGGTCGCTGACTGAGACAAGTTTGGTGGCGGTGAGTCAGGATGACGTCTGCAGCTGCTGAAAAACTGGACATCTGGGGAGGGGATTATAGTTGCAGTGGATTATTGGCATTGATGTTCGATTCGAGACGGCGCGGCCGAGGCTGTGGAATCACGCTGCAGAGCACGTTTAAATCGTGCTTGACTGAGCCTTCGGCCCAACGCCGTCCACTAAGAGAATGTGTCATTTTTTTACCCTCGCCCTATAGGAGGGGGGGGGGGTCGAGCGGACCCCCCTCGGTTTTTTGCAAATAACTCGCGTAAAAAGCGGCCGATCCAGACCTAGGACGTAGTGCTTATGTAGCCATATTAAATATTTAACGTTAATCACACATTCGTGGATGAGGCTTGTGACAGTTCCAGCGCAATTTGCCACCAATTAACCATTGGATTCCGAAAAAGGCAGCATACAATAGCAACAAGAAGACTGCCAGCGCAATACCATGTAAGATGGTTGAGCGTCGGACTCCTAAGCGCTTCGATACAAACCACGAAGTCAGCCGTCATTATCGCGTCACTGCCCGAGCGATGTCATGAGACAACGCCTCGGGCGGCCGCGCCGGTCGGACTCGCGAGGGAATGGCTGACAGATGGCGAGCCGGGCCCTGCCGGCCGGACACCTTGGTGTTTGGGGCGGGGCTGACTTATCCAGCAGCTGTTGCCTGTTCTTTGGTGACACCTTGGTGTTTGAGGCGGGGTTAACTTAGCCAGCCTGTAGCAGGGCCTCCTCTAACATACCCACTGGGTGGGCAAATGCCCACCCAGTCACCACAATTGCCCACCCAGTGGCGTCGATTTGCCCACCCAGAAGCAAATGCAAAAATTCTGGTCCGGCCGGACGTCCGGTACTACCTTTCTGGTCTTAAGCAAACTGGAGGCTGTTTGAAGGTAAAAAAAAAAGTTTTCTGGTTGCCCGATATTCAGGGGCGTAGTCAGAATTTCCTCAAGGAGGGGGCCAAACGCACAGGGGCCCAAAATAACCCCCTAAAAATCCAAAAAGCCATCTGGTTGGATCCAATATTTTTTTGGAGGGGGCCCAAATAAATAGAAAAATATTTATTAACAAAAAATATTAGAACTGAGGGGTAAGCAGTCCATGGGCCCTGTTAGATAGGCCCACGAATAGCTTCATAGAGTCGCCAGTCGGTTTTGAGGGCGGTCTGAGGGCCCGTAGGTCGGATGAGGGTTCTTCAGACCGTCACAGGCCCCTACAGCGCATGAGAGCCTCGTAAGCCGTCTGAGGGTCATATAAGCCGCCTAAGGGCCACTAAGACCGACAAAAGCCCTCCTTGCACTTGCAGATGCCCAGTCATGCCGACGGAGGGCTCTCTCAGACAAACTAATGACCCGTTCAGGGCAGTTGAGGGCTTCCTCAAACCGATAGAGGCCCCTCAGATCGACAGTGGATCCGATCCGAGCTCCCTCAAACCGATATAGGGTCAGACCAACAGTCGGAACGCATTGATTCTGTTTACACACCGTTGGACCCAAGTTGGACCCATCCCATCCAACTGGCCCCCTGGTTTCAATAGGGCCCCAAGGCTCTAAAATTGGGGCTCTCTTGGCCAAAGTATAACTACTCAGCTGTGTCAAAGGATCTGCCGCAGGGGCCTTTGCGTCGCCAAGGGCCCACTGTGTCAGCCAGGGCCCCTATAGAATAAGGACCCCTGGCTTCCAGGGGGGGGGGGCATGGTCCCTTTGGCCCCCTCCTTGGCTATGCCACTGCAGGTGACAAGCGTTCTTCCAGGCGACCAGGGGGCAGGGGCCAGGCGACCAGGCCCCCAGGCGACTAGCCCCCAAGCGACCGGGGCCCTCTAGGCGACCAGGGGCCCCAGGAAACCGGGGGTCATCGGATGAGTGCAGGGGCCCATTGGGTCATCAGAGGGCCACAGAAATGAAACTTCGATATCAATTTTCTTCCGAGTAAAAGACGTTTTATCCAGTGTTTGAAAAAAAAATATCCCGGGGCCTGAGGGGCTCACTCCCCCATGGCGCGTTTTGCGCTCAAGGGAGGGGGCCATTACCCCCGTGGCCCCTCCCCCTTGGCTACGCCCCTGCCGATATTGTTATTCATGGACAAAGCCAGCTAAATCTCTAAATACGGCTGAGCTAAACAAATAAGCAAGAATCATTACCGGTTCGGGTAGCCTTTACTACAATGTATTATGTTAGTTAGCCCTCGCCCGGTGAGGGGGGTTGATGCACCCCCCTAAGGTTTTTCACAAATAACGTAAAAACGGCGGCGCTCAAATTTAGCATACCCTCTGGGGCAACCTTTTGGCACTTGTCCTGAAAATTTCAGGTCTCTAGTCTTTTCAGGTCAGGTCACCAGGTCACAAACCCCGTACAAGGTCAGGGGAAAATTGGACTATGTAGTTTAGCGGCAACCGAATGCCAGAGTTTTTCGTTGATAGCGTGAGTTCTATAGCACGTAGCGCTACCAAATTTAACCCTCGCATGTGTAGGGGGGGTCGGATGGACCCCCCATGATTTTTCGCGAATAACTCGCGTAAAAAGCGGTCGATCGCAATGAAACTTTCAGTACCCTCGCATTGATCAATTTTACACCTACCCTGAAAATTTCATGACCCTGACCCAAATGACCTTTGACCTGTGACCTCTTTTCCGAGACCATGTTTGGCCGGAATCGCGATTCCGCGTATGTCGGCTCGCATTAGCCGCGCGTTTGCAAGCTTTTCGTGGTTTCAAACGTTCAAACATATGATTTGATGTTGCTCCCATGCATAAGGGTGGGTGTCAAGGTCACCTGAAGGTCAGGTCAGGTCATTGACCTTTGGTGACCTCGGGTGACCTCGGTTCACTTTTTCGAGTTTTACATGTTTCTAGGCTAGTTTTTGGAGCTGAATTCGAATTTAGCAACCATTTGAACATTTACGAAGTAGTTTTGGTGCCTTCGTAACATGTTACGAAGCTGTCAGAGGCGGTTGACAGGTACTACGAACACCCGTCACAACCCCTACTGGTTGACCTGACCTGACCTGACCCGACCTGGTCTAAATGCTTAAAGACATCATCTGTGATCAAAACTAACACGATATTCGTGATCAGCACCCCGAAAAAAACCCTTAGCAGCCACACTTTACGACTTTCTAATAGGTCCCGATTTTCCCGACTTTGGGTCATTGACCTGACCTGGAAGGTCAACCAATGACCTAGGACCTTAAAATTGGGTATCATCGGCTTCCTCTCGTCACGGGCAACACGCTCGTTTTTTCCGCGAAGCTCTAGCTTGATCAGGGGCCAAACGGCAAGGGGGGGTCCAACCGACCCCCCCCCACACACATTAGAAGCTGGCAAACGCCGCACACATGCGAGGGTTAAGACACGACTTGGAGCATCTGTTTGTCACTTGGCCTTGGAGTTTTAGGTTCTAGTGACCCGAGGCCAGGTCACAAGGTCACAAAAACTGGTACATTGTCAAAATAGCAAGAATACCGAATAAGAATACCTACCTACCACGCAGTTTGCGGAGGGCTGTACATGTAACTCTGGAACGAATCGCTCGAGCATCGCTAACCATAAATCATACGACAAAAGTTAACTTTGCAAACTATCATCTTTTTCCAATAACGGCACTGCTTATTTCGCCTCACCCCCGCCCCCCCCCCCGCGGTAACAGGTTTTGAAATTGGTTGAACCTCAAAATAGTGGCTGGATTCGCCCTTGGGCAGGGGAGTAGCGAAAATTCTGCCCACCCAGTGAAAAATCCTTAGAGGAGGCCCTGGCCTGTAGCTCTCTTGCCTTTCCATTTTTCAATCAGCCGATAACATGCCAGCTACGTCCATCTATATGTACCTAAATGTATAAATGTACCTAATGTACATTGTACCTATGGCGCTCATGAACACTACCGATTCTTATGTGGATAAATGGCCACGAGTTTCGCCACCTATGCCTCGCACCGCACTGTATAAATGTGGTCATATTTATTCTTCTCTTAAAGGGGCGATCTGTTTTTAGTTTTGACGAAATGCTATGAGGAATGCCGAAATTAGCATGGGGATGTTTTGGTGAACGACGAAGGGATATTAACGAATGACGAAGCATTTATCCAAATCGTCAAAGGTTTTGCCGGAAGTCAATCAGTTATTGGCGAATAGCGAAGGCTATACCAGCTGACGAACTGTGGAGTGGGATCACATTCCGTTTCGCCCATATGCTGAAGGTTTTGCCGGAATGCCTCTCACTAACCCGGTTTACATAGCATATTTGACGAGGCTCTAGCTCGTTAATTTGGCGATAATTTCGTTGCAGTGGTCTTCAAATATTTAGAGGGGATAATTTTGTAACTTGTTAAGCACCATTGGCATCTTTTGCAACATCACGGACGGAAATATAAGCTTGCAACAAACCCTATGTAAACGCGTCTACTGGCGCCACCTGTGTGCTGATCGGACGAATGGGTTTTGCTGATTGGCCATCGAACAACGCAAATAGGTGTAGTATCTTTAACACACTGAACATGACAATGGCACCCGTGGCCGTGACCCCTTTTTATGCCCCTGAGGTCATCTCAGGTCACCCACCAATGGTATCTGATAGTTTTTCGCGAATAACTTTTATAGAGGCATGCTAGAGCGATGAAAACACCTTAGATGTGTTTGGCTCGACGATACGGATCGACTGATTTGCAACTTAACCCTTATCGGTCAGGTCATGACATTGACCTGAGGATTAATTTTCAACTTGACCTTTCAAGGTCGAATGATAGTTCATACGACGCGTCTTGACGAGAGGAACACGATGCTGGTAAAAGAAAGTTCGTCCAAGGTTTGAGTCAGAAGTTATTGCAGAAAAACTTTCCGAAAAAAAAAATCAGGTATTTTGACAGTTTTTGCTTCCTGCAGGCAAAACCGTTGACGGTAGTTCAAATCTGAGAGGATTACTCAGAAAAAAACGTTAATATGCGCTTTTATCAAATGTCAAATGCGCTTACAT